TGCATTTGTGAAAACGAATATGGTGAAAAAACATTACAAATAATTCCTTCGGTTTTTGTTCTTGCACATGCAAATTTTTTGTCGTACAATGTTTTGATCCTTTGCAACTTACAATCAATTAATCTGAAACTTTGATTGTGGTTTATGGTGTGGTTAAACTAATGCTAGCTGTTCCTTCATTACACAACATTACATATTTCTTGACAAGACGTAACGACAATGATCGAACTCCACCGAGTAAATCTGACTCCTTACATCACCTAATTTAGTTTACTCTGCATGCTTTTTATGTGATTTTTTCAATCTTTATATCCTATAATAATTAATAATAATAGGTAATATATTTTACAGTACATTTAAAATAAGAAATGCAGATGTTTTCTAAAAAGCAGGACATTTTTTTAAAATCTGCAGGACGTGGGACAGTCCTCCAAAAAGCAGGACTGCCCCACCAAAATCGGGGCGTGTGGTCACTTTAATCATTCATAACTTTAGATATTTTCTTCTCAGAAAGATAACATGGTCTTATAGCCATGGCTACACAAATGAATCTAAAATTAAAACCCATGCTAGAATATCTCCCATAAAATCTCATCCTAAAATAGAATTGAAACTATAAACAACCACTTCAGAATGAGCTGAAATGCCATGTGTTTCCCTTTTCACCTGCTAGCAATGTTTATATTTACATTCTCGAAAATCCAATAAATCAGAGACACTTGACGACCTCTTTCTGACCTCAGAGAGAGAAATACTAATGTAGGAGAGCAATCTTTTGAATGGAACATGGATTAGTAATGCCATCTATTAGTAAATATATCATTCTAAAAGCACCATGCAACTGTGCCGCATCCTCCTGCTGCATAGGATCCGCCCTAATGCAAGGATGTGGCATAAAGCTTTGAAGGGCATCTAACAGTGACACATATTTTCAGCATTCGTTACAAATAGGTTAAGGAGCTATTGCAGTTTAATCCTAGTACAGTCAAAAGTCTTTAATCCGGACTCGTCGGGACTTCAGCGATTCCGGATTATCGATTTTTCCGGATTATAGATCATCAGTTTAAATCTGGTAAGATGGCATGCAGAAATTATAAAATTAAAAATATGAAACCGTAATTTATAAATAATAGAACAATTATGATCTAAAGGGTATCAAAATTTACAAAAAAAGCTTAATATTTATTTGTTTACTTTATTAAACATTTCTTTCAACATGCGCATGCATAAAGCATACCTTACGCATAGCCGAAATTAGAAAATTGCAACCAGAAAACTATTTGATTTGTATTCGGGATATTTATAATGACGAGGAATTTGATTTAAATCATATCAGAGACGGAGTACATCGAGATTAAATACTACATTTAGTAAGGAATTATAAGCCAAATAATATAAAAACATCTGCCCTGAAGATAACGATAGTGCTGACAGATCAACTTCCAGTTCATTGCGCACCGCGACGTCCCCCCCCCCCCGCAGAGCAGTGTGAAATTGATAAACAGATTTCGGAATGGTTAGATAAACAAAGGATATGCCTTTATCCATTTTTTGTAGCAATTCGTTTTTTGTTTGAGGGACATTGAAGGATACTTTCGTTTTCTAGATTCTTTGGGAGCTCCAGCATCGGAAATTCTATTTGACATAATCGAAAGTTCAAGCTTACTTTTATAAAATTGCTCTTACAGTCTTCAAAAAATAATAAGCCAGATCCAATTCAAAGATTAAGGAACAACACAATCATCAACATTAACTGAAATAAACAATTTGATAATTTTAGCTTATACCGTCCGTTATACATTAAACGCACACGCGAAAACATATTCTGCGCTTGCGCAGACCCATATGTGCAGTCGTAAATGTCTTGCCCGCACGCGTAAAACGTCTATGTGCATGCGTCAACGCGGTGCATGCGCAGAAAGTTTTTAGTTTTGATGTCCGGATTATAGATCATTCCGGATTATGGGTGTCCGAATTAATGACTTTTGACTGTATCTGGTGCACAAGGGATTTGGGGGATTTTATGATGAGCAGTAAACGGGGCATATACGATGAGTAGTTAAACCAAAGAACATCTATGTACAATACATATTCTTTGGTTAAGCGGGTCATTTTGTTGTTGGCGATATTTTTCAAAATTGCGCCAAGGCTGCACCGTATACTAGGATTTTACCACTATTGTTAATTTAAATTATAAATTGTACTTACAATTTACCTTTTTATAAAATCTTTCTTACATTATGTATACATTTCAGTTATTAGTTTTTTATATATAAAACATTTTGTTTCCATCTAAAACTTCACTTAGTACAAGAGATTAAAAAAAAAAAAAAAAACTGAAATGTTTCAGATTTTAAATTACGTCCAAAGGGGTGTCTTTTTAATTTTTTGTGTGTTACCTTTATTTATAAAATATCATGTTCTTTGCACTTAAACCATAAAATTTTGTTCAATAGCATAATAATTTTAAAATGAGCATATCTTTAGAATTTCCGATACACAGTTTGATGCGTTGGAGATAGAAAAGGTTTTTCCCCCGTAGAGTGTTGCCATTGCTCGTTTTTAAATTGTTGAGTTTGTTACACAAAAATTCTTAAAGTTTTACAAAATATGAAATCAATAATAAAACAAATTTCAAATTTGGGATTACAGATGCCCATATTCGCAGTAGGGTTATGTTATTCAAAATTGGATGGCTCTAGATACTGTTGTTTAATCACAATGCAAGAAATATACATACATTTATGCAGATTTTTTCATTATTTAATTTCTTCAAATATAATACAGACTCTAGAATATTTGGTAACAACAAGGTTGAAAAGTGAGACACGGACATTTATAGGAGTCTGACTCAAAATGCCAAAATGAAAGTAATAGTCCTTCAGGACTCAAATCCCTTTGGACTAAAAATTATGATGTTAGCTTCCTTTATTGGTAATAAGGTAGAAATTTGTTTCTAAATATTTTTTCTCTGCTTTTTTATATGATAATTATATTTCTGTTATCCTTCAGTTAAATATAGTTATGTGTAAATGTGTTAATGTCATATTTTAGCCTTAGTTATAGAAAGATATTTCATAATTTTTGTGTCATAATGAAGGAGAAGATTGATCGGGGCTTCAAAATTCCCGTTATATTTGGTGGTGGTGTTTTTTTCTTTTTAAAGGCATAAAAGGGCTGTTAGTCTTGAAACATGATTTTGCATTATTTCACTTTTCATCTGAGCCATTTGGAAAAATGTAAGATATTATTCTCTCATATTTGATCTCTCTATTATTATTTAATAAAATAAACTATTATGAGCAGTAGATAGATATCTTAAAATATTTTTTTAAATTTTTAATTTGATTGATTTAAATAAAAATATATTTAATTCATGATATATCTAATTAAAAGCAGTAAACACTTTTATAGAATTATATTGCATATTTTTTAACATTTTAAATATGCAAAAGATATCTGATATTCCCGTGTTAGTCTAAACGTATATTCCAAGGGTGAGCAAGCTCCTTGACAGTCCAAGCCATTTTTCAAAATTTGAAATTTTTCGCAAGCCGCATTTAAATACGTGTTTAAAACGTATTAAAATTTTTTTTACAGAAACCATATTTATTGAAAACATATAAATAAAAGTACAAAATATGTGTATTGAATTTAAATATTAAAAATTAAACACATTTATTTTATTTCTCTTGATAATTCTTTAAAATTTGGTGAAAAATTGCTGACAGCACTTCTCAGTAATGCGGGTTAGTAATGCTGCGATGCTAGTTAGTTAATACTGCTCAGTGTCTGGATTTCACGAATTTTAAAATGGAATAAAAGGATTCACATAAGTACGACCGTTTTTCTGAATATTGAAGTAATTCGAAAAGCAGCCTTTTTTAATTCAGGATACTTCGATTCTGGTTCAAATTTCCAAAATTCAGTAATTGGCGTCGATTTATATTTTAATTGTAGAGCTTGATTTTTTTTTGCATCTCTATTAATTCTAATTCTCCAGATGCTTTTTGGGTCATAATTATATTGGAAAGGAAAAATTCACCTTGAATTATGTTAATTTCAAATGGATTCAGAAAAATATCAAGAGACTATGGACGGAAATGAAATTTGTTACAACGTTGCACTTAGTCTTTCATATTTGTTGTGTGTAATTTAAAAGACATTTTGAAACACATATGGAACAATAATAATTTTTTAAAATATAATAACACAAAAATGAAAAGGGAACTGGGGTGCATTTATCGAGAGCCACAAATAATCCTTCAAAGAGCCGCAGGTTGGTCACCCCTGTTGTATTCATTTAATATCCTACAAAAATGTTTTGCTATTCCACCTGGGCCATCTGTGTTGATAATCTCTACTGATAAACCATATTAAACTTTAAAAGAGCCCTTATGGGTGATCATTAAAATTTTTTCCTTTCAGACTTTATTTTTTATTATTATTATTTTTAATCTCTTGGAATTTTTCTTACCACTAGCAATAGTAATTGGCAGTATTATAATATTTTTAACCTCAGCTTCCAAATTCTTTTGTAATAGAATTAAACTATATTCATAATTTATATTTAAAAGATTTAAACTTATAGCTGCTTAGCGTCCAGAAATATCATAATTTTAAAAATTAAATAGAAAGCAATAATGCCTGTATTATGATTGTTTATTTTTTTAACTTGAGTATATATGTCTGTTGCATAGATCTCTTTTCTGGTTGTTGATGCTTTGTAATTTTTAATATTTTTCAACAACTTATTCTATACAGTATTTAGGCTGACAATTGAAAGTGATAAATATGCTTCTTCACTGTTTTTTAGAAATATGTTGAAAAAGTGGTAAAAGCTGTTAGGTACATTCATTGTCTGTTAAAATTTTATTATTATATTTTTAAGGTGTATATTTTTGTACCAAAAAATGATAATAATCTTTGTTTTTGTTTAAACCAAATAAATTATGTTTCCAGAGAGAGTTTGATTCTAACCAAGCTTGTTTTTTTTTTAGGGTAGTAAGCCACAATTAGAACAGGTTTGGGAGGATCAAGATCACATGCCCAGGGAAGAATTTAATCCTAGAACTTTCTTTGCAATGCATGGTAAGAAACAGTTTGTCTCCTATCATTTTAATATTATAAAAAAAATCTGAAAACATTCAGATTTTACATTATGCCCATGGTGGCATTTTTTTACCGTTTTATGTGTTACCTTTATTTATTAAATATCATGTTCTTTGCACTTTACCATAGAATTCAATTCAATAGCAATATCACAAAATAATTTTAAAAAAATATCTTAAGAATTTCTGATACAGTCTTGTGCACTGGAGATTAAAAAAAAAAAAAATTCCGTACGGTGTTGCCATAGCTCGCTTTGGAATAGTTGAGTTTGTTAATTAAAAATTTGTTAAAGTTTTACAAAATATGAAATAGATAATAAAAGAAATTCCAAATTTGGGCTTCCAGATACCTATATTCGAGAGGAAAACTACGTTATTCAAAATTTGATGTCTCTAGGTACTGTTGTTTTTTCAAAGTGCGAGAAGCATACATACGTTGATGCAAGTTATTTATTATTTAATTTCTTTAAATATAATTCAGGGCTCTAATAATTGGTGGCAACAATTTGAAAAATGAAATGTTGTTTATAGTAAACCAATGCAAAATGCCAAAACGAAATTAATAGCCCTTCTAGGCAAATTGCTTCTTTGGGTTAAAAATATTGAAAATTAATGTTTAAATTGGTTTTTGTTGATTTAAAGCTGTATACTAAATGTATTTAGAAGTGATTGATGTTATTCAACTTTAATTCTCCGCTCCCCTTTAAAGATAATTTTCAGCTAGTGTTGTGTCTGTTTAGCATGTTGAACAGAACTAAAATATGCTATTACAAAGATAAATTACAATTAATGCAGGAGCTAAGATTGAGGGGTATTATTTTAAAACTGGGACTCACTTTTTTATAAAAAATTACTGTGCATTAGTATTAAAAAGTTTCTAAATAGATAAAAGAACTGCATGTTTAAATAAAGGTTGATATGTGATGTTTTTATTTTATTCCAGTGTCTGGTTTTCAATGACATAAAATAAAATTATCATTTCATTGTGATTTCATCTTAATAATTTTTCTAGAGAAAATTTGATAATCTTGCAAATTTATCATAAAAAATTAGTTATGAAAAAATGATTGATTAATTTGGAAAAGAATGAGAATTAGCAATAAGGATAAGCATATCATAAGTAAGATTGCCAGAACATTATTCAAATTTCTGACTCTGTTATCTGTAGCTGCTAGTGAAAAAAAAGGTTCAGAAGCTTATACAAAGGCTGCAAAATGAGAATATTCAGAAACATTCTGAGGTAATAATAGAAAACAAACTTAATGCCATTTGATAAAGAGAGGGAGAACTGTTTTGGTTTAATATCTAAATTTTTGTATATTTTTTAAAAGAACTTTTGCATGTTTTTTATTAGTTTTATTATCAATAGATTGTATTAGGGTTTTTATTTTTTTATCATTATTGCAGAATTTTAGTGTTTTTTAATGCATTAAAGTATGATTTCAGATCTCATTTTCTGACTAGCAATTGAAGATGAATCACTCAGACCTTAAAATTAGTTTTATTTATGCTAATTTTTGGTCTTTAAAAAAAAAAAATAATAATAATAACATCCTGGTTGTTATTTATGTTATGACAAATTATATTTTAATTTGCTTATCCCCTCAGGGGCTCAGTTTTGTGAGTACGGGTGGGGCAATCCCAAGGTACCCTACCCCTTCAGGAGATCATCTTCTTGGTGAGATGGGTGTCATGATCATTGAGCCCCAGTGATCTATCCTCTCTTCCGTCTCCTCTCCTCTGAACTAAAGCTTTTTACCTTACATTTTTCCTTGTGGTTTTCCTCTTCAGAGGATGGGGTTCGTCATGAGAGACTGGGACAGCTCTTGTCTCTAGTTTTCGAGTGGCGAGAAAACTGCCCACGTGTTTGCCTTGCGTGGAGACCCTTGTCTCTGGAAAGGAGGGTCCTGGCAGTTGAGGGGCAAGGTACTGACCCCAACACTGCTTTGGCGTCTGCTTCAGCTAAACGGGTGGCACCTTGTCATCCTCATGGGTGTCAATTGGCTGGTCACTAGTCCTTGTGTCGGTATCTTGGGGATAAACTCTCGGGAGTACCTGCTTTCGGGAAAGCCGACTGTGGAGCTTCAGTTTGCATATAGGTTTTGCACAGAAATCTGTGTTCCCTAGTTTTGCTCCGTGGTGGGTGGGGCTGTCGGACATGAATCTTCAATTATGGCTCAATTAAATTTACATACTTCAAATGAACACAATTATATGCCTCTAAAAAAGTCAAAACAAGGGACAATGCCTATCTTGATATAAATTCAGCAAGTCTACCAAGTTTTCTAGTCATTAACAATTTTGCAGACAATTTCCAATAGCTCTCTCCATTTTTAATTAAAAAATATGTTCAGTCTTGCATCAGAGAGCCAAAGAATATCAAACGGCTGCACTCTGGACATCTTCTAGTTCAAACTGTTTCTTCTGCTCAATCTGCAACACTTCTTGGATTGAACTAAACTTGGGCAAATCGGTATTACTGTGTCAGCTCAGAAAACATTCAGTTTTTTTCGAAGTGTTATCTTAGAGATCAACCTCCTTTCAGTTTCAGAAGAAGAAATAGTTTAACCAGAATGTGTGTGCTGCTAGGCAAATCAAAGTGTGCAAAGAAGGTCAGTTAATTGATACAAAGCGTATAATCCTGACCTTCAAGTCGCCTGATCTGCCTAAAAGTATTAAGGCTGGATACTTACACTACCCCTGTAAGACCTTGTGTACCAAATCCCCTACTTTGCTTTCAGTGCCAACGTTTCGGGCATTCGAAAATCTCTTGTCGTGGAAAAGTCATGTGCATGCTGCTCTGCGGAACCCCACAACAGCGAAAACTGCAATGCCGCGCCACTATGGGCAAACTGTAAAGGAGATCACACAGCATTCTCTCGACTTTGTCCAAAATGGAAATCTGAAAAAGACATTTAAACTATCAAGGTAACAAAATAAAATTTCATATTCAGAGGTGAGAAGAATTGAAGCCGAGTTGCAGCCGGGCAAAAAGTCATACGCTAATGTTGTAAAATAAGAGGCCAGTCCATAATATCAAGATAATAGCTAAAAAATCCAATAATAAAAAAACTAAAAATGACTAACTGGAAAATAAAAATGAGAAAAAGAAAATTCCACCACTTCCCAGAAATCCGAGCCCGAGCTCCTTTGGGAGCATCAGTTCAGAAGAGGTGAATTCTGATATGAATGTGGGAGAGGGACTGGATATTCCGAGACACCTGCTTCCACGAAAGACAAAAACATAGCACCGAAAAGGTAAACATCAGTCATAATTGCGACCCTTGTTTCTGTCTTTTCGCTGTCTTTGGTGTCGCGGCTTCCACCAAAATCTCATTAACATTAAAGACTTGATCAATAAATATCATCCCATGTGTTTGGCAGTCCAGGATACTCTCCTGTAACGAGGGAGAGAAACTAAGCTTCGAAGGCTCTCATTTGCTAGGAAAGACAATCTTGTAGGAGAGCGTGCGATTGGAGGTGTTGGTCACCTCACTTTGCTTGACCGCCCTTCCTGTTCATTTCTTTTAAGAACATGCCTTCAAGCTGTTTGCATTCAAATAAATATAAAGTTTCTGGTTTCGTTTGTTCTGTCTATTTTTCTCCAAACGAACACACTGATGAACAAGATTTAGATGACTTAATATGTCAGCTGTCTGAACCTTTTATCATGTTAGGTGACTTTAATGCTAATAGTCCGCTTTGGGGAAGTAAGGACACAAATCCTCAAGGAAGACAAATTGCATAAATGATCAAAATCATTGCTTTTCTCTGCTCAATAATGGTTAGGATACCTACTTCCATGAGCCCACAAGCACATTTCACACACTTGATCTTGCAATCTGCTCATCATGACTGTTGCCTTTTTGCAAATTTAGTGTAGGAAATGATCTTTATAATAGTGATCACTTCCCAATTTTTATGTCTCGTGATCGAGAGTGATTCCTTTGTCAAGATCCCCTCAATTATATTTGATAGGGCAGACTGGGAACTCTTCTCCTCTCTTGCAGATATCATAGAAGAAATGGTAAAAGATGTGCCTATTGATGATGCTGTGAAAGCGTTTACTGATAGTGTTGTTCAGGCAGCTACTATTTTATACATATAACATCGACAAAGTTAGCAAAATTTTCAAAATCATGGTGGAACAGGAATTGCCAAGAAACTTTCAGAAGACAAAGAAAAGCCTGGGGTATCTTTCATCAACATTGCCAAACCTTCTAGCCTTCAAAAAAGCAAAAGCATGTGCAAGGAAAGTTAGACGTAAAAGCCAAAGGGATTCGTGGATGTCTTACATGTCTGGAATTTCATCCTCAACATCTAGTAAACAAATATGTGAAAGAGTTCAGAAAAGCATGTGGATTCTATAAAGGCCACTTTTTTCCCTTTCTGGAAAAAGACAGCCATGTGATTAGCACCACAAAAGAAATAGCAAATACCATAGGTAACACCTTTGCTACTGTTTCAAATGGCTGCAACTACTCGCCTGCTTTTCTTTCTGCCAAGTATCACTTGGAAAAAGGCTCCCCTTGTATTCAAGTCTTTTAACTCGGAGCCTTATAATGGCAATTTTACTACAGTTGAATTGAAGAGAGCATTATTGGATACACATAGGACCAGTCCCGTGTCCAGATGGTATCAGCTATGAAATGCAACAACATCTCTCCTGTAAGTCGCTGGCTGCCCTTCTCGCTCTTTACATTCGAGTGTGGAAGGAGCATTCTTTCCCAGCACATGGAAGAAAGTTATAGTCATTCCCATAGCTAAACCTGGAAAAGACCCAAAGAATTCTTCTAACTATCGGCCCATCGCTCTTACAAGTTGCATGTGAGTGCTAGAAAAAATAGTAAACCGTTGCCTGGTCTATTACTTGGGAAAAAACAACGTAATTTCCGTATATCAAAGTGGTTTCCGTAAAGGTAGAACAACAACTGATAATATGCTTTTTCTGGAAACTGGCATTCGTAAAGCTTTTGTCAA